CACACCCCAATGGGGGGAGCTCTCAAACACTTCTCTAGAGCTCCCTTCCTTTCTCTCCCTCAAATTCTCTTAATTTTGCTTTATAGTTCTCAATTCTAGCTTTCCTTTTTGCTTCTTAGTTGTAGTTTATTTTTCTTTGTAATGTAAATTCTTTTCTTAAGTTTTCAAGTTTGATTAGTTTCCAAGTTTCAATTATGGTTTTTGTTCTTATTCATTATGCTTATAAGTTAATATGCTAGTTTGAATGATTGATCACCATTTTGGTTTGAATTAAGAGTATACACCATGCTTTAATTCGAATTGAACTATGAATAGGAAGAGTATGTATGGACATTCGACAACAGGGATTAGATACATACTTGGTTGTTTAAAATGTTCTTCTATGCTTAATGGGTTCCTAATGCTTAATTTTAGGTTAGACAACAAATGATCAAATTAGGGAATTAGGAACACAAGGTTATGACCACACACCATGGCTTAATCATACTTTAGCTAGAATCAATCCATTAATCTAAATTGAACTTGGGAACTTATTTGCTTGAGTTACTTATTTCTTTCTTCCTTGTTTTATGTTCTTTGTTTTTGTTTCTATTTTGTGTAGGGAAACTAAATTGGATCATTCAATCACCAATCCCTGTGGAATCGACCTCGCACTTACATATGCTATACTACCAACGGTTCGTGCACTTGCGAGTATCACAAGTTGAGGATGCAGCTTAATCCATTTTGGTGGAGCTAAATCTACGCAACACCTACTCGGGTTGGGCCATGAGTGGGCCTACTAGGGTCGGGCCGCGCCATGAGTGGACTTACTCGGGTCGGACTGGAAATTTCAAATCCTAAGTCCAAACCTTACCCAACCTTAAAACGGACCGGGCCAAACGAGCCTAACCATCATACCATACTAGGTTTTGACCCATCAAGTCTCATGACAGGACCCGCCTCGAATTCCTCAGAATCCGTGACAGATCCTGTGGTATTTCTGACATCAAACTGATGCCGGGCCCACTTACAAACATCATAGCCTCTTTTCTAAATCAAGGAAAAGAGTGACGAAACTTTCTTCTGAAATTTCGGCATAATTTCCCCTAAAAAACGGAATTTTTCCAAATTTTTAACCTGTCAAATCACAGTTAAATAGTCCCAACAACAACATGCACAATGTAGAAACACACAATTTACATATTAGGCCTCCGGCCTTACATTCAACCCTAACATGGGCGATCGATAACATAGCAATTCTAAAGGAATTCAATTTACAAAAGAAAGTAAAGTTCAACGGAATAGAAACAAGTAAAAAAAATTGTCCTACAAAAGCTCGAGGCTAGGAAGTTCAAGACTTGGTTTGGCCGCTCAACTCAGCTCAAGTTACTGCCTAGGGGGCACAAAACAGAAAACTTGTGAGTGGACAAAAACAAAGTTTTATTATATCTGAAAACAACATACTAATCCCACCATTTGGAAAATGATGCAGAAAACATGCAATTGAAACCCAATGTATTCGTATATAGTCCAATAAAACTAAGGTAATCCCCATATCCCATAATAGTATACTAATACACAAACACACTCTACACCCTTCCCGCGAGCGAGGAAGGATCCTCACAGATAAACAAGAACGAAGGTATATGTACATATATATATATATATATATATATAACCAATACCAAACTTGTACCGGGGAAACAATCCAACCGGAAGATTGTTTAACTAGACCACATGGAAAAATCCTCAATTGACCATGTGGCTACGAAGCCGTCCAACCGGGGGACTGGGCTCACCAGCACGTACAGTAGAATCCTCAATACTCATACACCTCAGACAAGTCCTACGCACGCAGACTAACCCCGTTAAGGGTCTATGAAACATCTCGTCAAGGGTGCCCAGGTTCTAACATATCCGAGTATCCCATAATTCCAAGTATCCAATTCAAGTATTCCAAATCCGGGGAGGTACATAGGGTAGTGCCTAAAGCACTCGATACTAGTATAGACCACAACCCCAATCCCATTCCATAATCTCTTTCTAACAATCCCATGTACCCATCCCATATCCAAGTCTAAATAGTAACTCTCAAAAATAGCATATATCAATTCAAAATAATCACAGTCTGTAAATATACAAATATACTTCCAATACTCCCATAACAATATTATATTCAAACATTGAAATAATATAATGAACTCATTATGCATAGCTTTTCATCTTTGAAAATAATGATTATTATTTAAAAACAAAGTCCACTCACAGATAATCCAAAGCTGCTTGACCCCGAGAGGATCCCGCCTGTTGAGTACGCTAAACTGGAGTACCTATTGAAGAACACGAGGACTATAAAGCGTTTCAAACGAGAACTTTAAATATAAACTCTTAGTTTTCTAGGGATTCAAAGTGTGTATGACGAACGGGAAGTTTCTAAGGTTCAACTACGCGTTTCAAATGGTGGAATAACCTCGGAAGACTCTCGGTCAACCGGGCCCACAGAGCCCACAACCTCCGATTTTCGATCCGAAAGTTCCTATGGGTTCAACAAAGTTTACCAAACACGTCCTACAAGTTTGGTCCAGATCGAGCGGTCGGATCGCTCACGATCACACGATCCGACGGTCACCATTTTCCGTAATCTTTGAATTATTGATTCGGAGTATCCGAGACTCCGATTCTTGATCCGCAAGTCCTACACAATCCTAGAGGTATCTAGATCAACATATTTGGAAATGGAGTCGATCAAACTGTCCAAACATATCGAACCCGGATAACGCCTAATATGCGTAAATCTGATCGACCGTCAAACGATAACCAAATTCAAATCTGAGCATACCGTCATGCTCAGGACGACATGGGGAACATTTCATAACCAAATGGGCCACCCAATCATGGCCCACGCGCCCCCACATGCTCGGGCAGCGTGTGATGGCTTGAGTAAATTCCGACGACTGGAAATTTCTCAAAACACCCATCAATACCTATACCTACGTGATCAGGAGAACTAGTGGAGCAACTTTTGTTCTTGAGCCATGGCCAAAAAATGGCCGGAACTTGCCGGAATTTTGGAGCTGAAAACCGGCCAAAACTTAGATCGTAAAATGAGTTTCAAAACTTCAAAATCTATCATAACCAACCCAGCCATTAGCTAGATCATGTTGAAAGGATGAGAAAGCATACCTGGATCGACAAAAATGGTGGTCGAAATCTTCGAAAACGACACCGAAAATTTCGACTAAAAATCAGCATGTTTCGAGCTTTTTCCGGCGACTGGGGCTGCCGGCTGCAGTGGGTATGGGGCGGGATGAAGGGAGGGAAGTGGGCCGATTCGTTTGGGACCAATCCCGTCGCAATTGGTGGCCAGACATGGGTGTTGCCTGCCAAAACAGTGGCCGGCTGGAGGGGGGTTTTGCGCGAAGAAAGAGAGAGGTGAGGTCGGGGAGAGAGAGAGAAGAATCTTGTGGTTTTAAAATTCCAATTTTGAAATATTTACGGTTGTGTCACTGCACTTCCGTTAATCGTAACTTTCTTCGTTACAACTCCGATTTGAGCCCACTACATGTCTACGAACTAGTATTGACGCGCTCTACGTAACAGTGCCATTCAATTCCCCAAAATCTTACCAGATTAAAAAATTAACCAAAATAACCATATCCCAAAGACAAAATTGTAATTTCATAATTAAATAAATTAAATTATTTAAATAAATAGTTAAAATTGGGTCAGGTTGTTACATCTTAGGCTACCCATTTCGGCCCGCGAGCCGCGAGCCAAATTGATACTCCCTAAGGCAATCGGTGGGTTACATGAGAAATTTAAGCTTCGGAGTTTAAAAAAGTGTGACTCCAATTGGATTAAAGTTGGTCACTTCGAGATTCTGATTATGATGCCACACCAATAAAATATTGGAGAATTGTTAGTTTGCTGGTGTGTTTTATTGTTGGATTTATTGGTGTCATTTGTGCCTTGGATATGCAGGCTGGGTTTTGGTCAGCATCCTTCTTCTTTCTTTCCTTTTATTTTAATAAATTTGATTGACCCAAAAAAATTACAAACATTTGTCTCCACAATTATGCACGCTGCAATGGGAATATGCTCCATGTAGAATCGCCCTGATTTTATACTTCAATTGGACCCTTTTGTTGTTTATAGAAGAACAGGGGCAGGAGTATATTTATTCCTCTATATGTCTTGTAAGGCGTAGCCTTTTCAGCATATGTCGCATTATTTGCTGCCCTAGAAAATATTGCTCTTAGGCACATTGAGCATCTACATTAGATGCCATGTTTGTCAAGGAAGCTGGTGATTAGCTGATTAACTTGCTCTGGAAATTGTTCCGGCACAAAATGAGTCCCTTCTGCAATGAAATTAATGTCCAAATCAGGCACAAAATGCTTCACTGCCCCAGTGCGCATGTAGTCCTCGACCCCCGGAAACTTTAAGAAGTAGTCCTTCTCACCCATGATAAGCAGCGATGGAGCTGAGATTTTCGGATCAGTTAAATGGTAATCCTCGGATGAACGTCTGGATCTGTGGAAAGAAACACTTATGAAATCATATGTTCGGAGATGTGTTATTTATGGAATTAGATTATATTGTTTTTGGATGTTTTATCTTAGGAACCGCACTATTTTCTGTCTCTATTTCTCCTTAGAACTGTTTTGGAGAAAGAAGCTCATGTCCTGTGGAAACAGAATGCAAAGGTTTCTCGGCTTTTACTTACCTGTATGGAATTTGCAATGGAAAATGGAGTCCGGATTTCTCATATAAAGATGCATAGGCGGCAAGATCTTCCTCAGAGAACCATGGTGGTAGAGGAGTTGCAGGGTCAACCAAGTCCATGATTTCTTGATCATCAGCAGCTACTTGGAGCTCACTTCCGGAGAAGAGAATGTAGATGTTCCGTATCACTGTCTTCACATCAAAGCGGCCAAAATCTGCTTCTGCCCGCCCTGGCTCCTAGAATTAGGTAAGAATAGCAATGTCAGTACATAGGTCATGAACCTTGTAATACGACAAATACAGATCGATGCGGTGAAACATTTGACAACAAAATCAAGATGCTGATGGGAAAATGCATGTACCTTGAACCTTGACATGTAGAATCCTTTTGGGATGAGATGAAATTGGACAGGAGAGGCATCTGGTTGCATGAAAGGAACACCTACTGTTATCATGCCAGAGACCCGCTGTGGGTGGAGAGCAGGTATTACGTATGCAGGGAAAGCTCCAAAATCCTTCCCAACAAGGACAGCCTGGTTTCAACAATTACAGGTTAAAAATTTTGAGGCAACATGAATTGTATGAGTTCAAAGTTTTGTGCAGAGACTTCTAAAGTTCGTGAAGCAACGATTGATCGGCTAGCAAAAATTTGGTGACATTTTGCAGCCCAAATTGGTCGGCTGCCGGGTTTTGTGTTTGTTTTGTAATTTTACTCCAATTTGGACATAATTAGATTACATTATGGTGCAGAATAGCCAGTTTAAAGAGAATGCAAAGCTTAGCTCTATGCCCAAAACTTAGTATGCTAAAAACAACTCCTGCAAGGGACTTGTAGCTCAAGTAGTTATGAGCATTTATCCCTGTATCCATAGTCCTAGGTTCGATTCCCCCCTCCCCCAATATCGCTTGTATCAAAAACAAATCTCTACTACCATGACACCATCTTATTTGTTTATATATCTATGCTGACTTTATTTGAGCCTCATTTATTTATGTCACATAGTTGGTATTGAAAAGTTCATGTAGTACTATTCTTAAAAATATCGACACAAATTATAACTACAAAAGTAATGATATCATAGATCTCTTTTGCTTTTTCCTAACCAAAAAAAAAAAAAAAGTTCAAATATATAGGCCCTGCAGTCTAATTACTTCTGATGAATATTTACCTTGTCAATGCTCAAAGAATCCAAAAGGGCAACAACATCGTCAACAAGGTCTTTGAGGGTTGCCTTTTCTGGTTCAGCTGGCTGCTCAGAAAGTCCATAGCCCCTGAAATCAATGGCTATGGCACGGTGGCCTTTGTTTGCCACAGCAACCATTTGATGCCTCCATGTGTACCATATTTCCGGAAACCCATGTAAGAAAAGCACCACTTTTGGACCTGCAGAAGCAGAAGCAGAAACAGAAACTAGTGTAAGAAGTCAAAACAATGATGGATGTAAAAATATTAAAGAAAACAGTGAAATGGGGTAAGGTGACTTTAGAAATTTGGATCTTGCCGCTTCCAATTTCAGCTACATGAAGCTTTACACCTCTCACTTGCACATGTCTATGCTGGATCTGTTCCATGAGAGCCAGAGAGATTCTTGGTGAGCTAGAGCACTCAGAGAAGAGACAATGAAACAAGAGGGAATGAATTAGAAAATGATTCGCCAAGCGTTTGCTTTAACTTTTAATGGTCATCTCTCGTTGTTTTCTATTTTTGTTGAATTCATGCTGTTTTTCAATTGGAGAAGGCAATTAAATGTGGTATTAAATTATATTGTTCCAATCAGTCAATCTTTTTGTATGTCTATTTTACCCTCTTAATTGTTGCACATGAGTTATGAATTTTAGTACAAGCAAAGGGCAAAATTGGCACTCACATGCAAAATTGGCACATGAGTTATATGTATCTTAATTTTGTGCATTATATAGTGTCAAATTTTGTGCATCTGAGTTATGATTTTTCTTTTTTGGTCATAAATGTTCAAAATTTAGGAGTAACAAATGCATCAAAGAATCAAATGCAGTCTTCTTCTTATTCCACACTGGAAAGAACGTTACTTAATTAATAAAATTAACAAATTCCATTTTCAAGAAGTATATTGGGCTGAACAAGCTCGCATTAATTGGCTCAAATTAGGAGATTCTAATAATAAATATTTTCATGTTGGTGTTACTGTTGGACGAAATAATAATCTTATTACTAAAATTAAATCAAATTTAGATATTTGGATTACTAATCCTACGGAAATTGTTTACGGTTTTGTCAATGAATATCAATCTCGTTTTTGGTATGAGTACTATCTTTCTATTTTTTGGCGTTATTAAAAAAAATTCGGAACTTTTACACCACGACCCCATGATGTAACAATCATGGTTCCATCTTTGCAAATGAAAGAGATAAACAACATATTATCCATGAAATTGTGGTCACCCACCGTTGGATATTAATCCAATTGTTCAAAAAAAAATTTAAAAAGGAGTGCAAGAGTGAGTGAACCGTTGAATTTACATCCAACCGTGAGTGACCACAAATCTCTTGGACCCTTGTAGTCCAAGAGATCGGGACTGTTAAAGTGATTGTGCCAACTAAATTTTAAAATTTAAATTATTGTATTATATATTTATATAATTTATACAAATCTTAAGCCACATTACTTTTTTATTTAGTTAACTTACAATCCATATATAAACATTCTTATATTGTCTTATAAGTATATATTATATATATTCATTATCTTGCTTTAGTACTTTTTTTTTTTTTTTTTCAACAACGTAGTTATATATTGATTTTTTCTTCTGTAATGGGGCGGATTGGGGAACCCATTCCCCAACAAAGGTGGGGATGAGAAATCCCCGATATGAACATTGCGGGTATGAAAGAGGGGATGGGGGAAAAAAGCTTAATGGGGATGGGGATGGGAATAGCATACCCACCCCCGATTCGACCCATTGTCATCCCTACCAAAGAGAAGAGTTAGAATGTAATACAAAGGGAGTTGTATACTATTGATACCCAATACGACCAGTGCCTGATAAAAAGAGCCCAATAGCCAGCCCTCGCCACTTAAGAAAGTGACGAGGCCCAAAAGGCTAAAACAAGGCCCAAAAACCCCATTATTGTACGCTAAGGAGTCCCAATGAATAATGGGGCAGACTAGGCCTGTCTAATTCATGGGTTCAGTCCTATAGGGACAAAGCGCGGAACACACCACCCTTAGCGTGCCCCAGTGCCCACGCGCTTCGCCTAAAAGCCCACGCACTGCTTACTTAAAAGGACCAATTAGCCCATAAATATTCCACCAGCACATAATTCCCTCAAAATGAAGGACACATGTTTGCCTACAAGTACAACTGACCTGTTAAACCATATAGGCTGCATATATTAAAACATTAACCTTGAATATAAGCCATTGATCCTGCCAAGATAGATGAACCAGTTTGTCGCCAAGATCTTCTTCTCAAAACTGATTCCTTATGCATGAATTCTAGATGAGGTTTGAATATTTTAGAGCTTGTTTTTATCGGCTGAGAAGGGACTTGGTATTTATAAGCAAAAGCTCAAGTCTCCTTGCTCACTATCAAGGGTTCAAAATCAGTTGGGAGCACTTTATGATTAGAGGCAAGCCGAATACCGAGCATGAATTAATCTCACCCTTCGAGTGTGGGGACACATCGTGGTATTTACTGAAGAAAAAAAAAGCATGTCATGTTATGATTTTAGCATATGCTATTATTGCTGCAGAGAGTTTTTCTCGTGAGAGGGAGAGAGAAGGGTCAGGGGAGGGATAGGAAAGACAAAAAGGAAAGAGGAGATGTGTCCTAGGTTGTGGGCCCTTTTTTATTTTTTATTTTATTTTGAAATAAATGTTAATTAAGGTTAACAATGGGACAAATGTCACTGTTTAAGGGTGATGATGAGCATACATCTTTGATTAAAGCGGTGAGCAAAAATACTCCAATTCAATAGATGCCAAAATATTTCAATTGATTGAACTTTTGCATTCAACTATTGAACAACCATGCTCTTAGGATAATGGAGCACAACTTCTCATTTCACAATTAATTGTAGGCTATTTTAACAGATTAAGTTTGGGATCTGTATTATGGGTGGTTAATATTTTCTCCAATGAAAAGCATACGTCATGTAATTTATTATAGCAAAATAGTTAAGCACATCAAATTTGTGGGGTAAATATGTAATGCAACACCCAGCCAGTTAAACAGTACATTATTGTTTCTCTCATGGATTATTTATTGTTTCCCTTGCACATTGCGCATCTACATCAGATGCCATGTTTGTCAAGGAAGGAGATGATTAGCTGATTGACTTGCTCTGGAAACTGTTCA